TAGCGGCGACGACCACTACTACTACCACTACTACTACGACGACGACCACTACTACTACTACTACCACCACTACTACTACTAGTAGTAGTAGTAGTACTACTACTACTACTGCTACGACGACGACGACTACTACTACTACTACCACTGAACAGTAGCCGTAGAGGCTGGGATTTTGCGTTTACACACAATTGATGTTTGTGAGGCTCAAGTTGCGGCATCATGCCGCTGAATAGATGTGAGACGCCAGAGCAGAGGCAAAACCGCCGAAGTGCCGTGCGGGCGATATGCCGCTTGAGTAATCCTGTGCGCCTATTAAAGGGAACCTCGTTCACAGTTTTTAGTACGGGGTCCCTGAAATCGGGGTTGTCCAAAATTAAATAGGGTGACTTGGGAAGAGCTTCAGAACCAAAAAATCACCCAGGACAGTTTTATATATATTTTTTGTTCATCAAACTTGTATCAAAAATTGAATCAGAACAAGGGGTCTTCCTTTTTACGCTACAAAAGCTTTATTGGTTGCTTTTTGAACAAAACTCATCCAAAATCGACCGTGTTGGTAGTTTAGTAGCGGCTTTAATGGGCGGTAATTCAATAACGAATATAAACCGTATTTAGGGTGTTCCGACTTGAATTCTTTTCTATTTGAGTCCGTTTTTAAACTGGTAGTCGGGATTAGTGCCTCGAATATGTTCAGTCCAGATGTTTTGAACAAGGATGCGGGTGTGGCCGTGTTGGCGGCGTGCGTCGCCCAATTGCGACAAGTGCCTCGCGCTGGACGTGAGCACAAGGATTTTGTTTGTAGCTTTTGCTGACGGACTTTGTAGTCGTATTTTGGGCTATGTACGAGAATAGTGTTTATAAGGCCACTGTGTTAGATCGAAGGTGGCCGCGTTTGCCCACCGCTAGGTCGCTGGCAGTTACAAAGGTTCCCAGAAATTCATTCCACGAAAACGGGTTTCTGAGAGTTCTCTTGTGGAGGCGCCTTCTGGCATTTTTCTTGAATGATGAAGTGCAAGGGAAGCGTGGCATTCTTATAACTCCTTTCCCTTTCTGTTTATCGTCTGCATTTTTGCTGATTCTGCAATTCTGACAAAAGCCCATTGCAGAAAAGCGGGATGGCGCTACATTGTTTTTTGGCCTCGCTTGTGGGGGACTTTTGGCTGTCAAGTGGTAGAGTGCTCCAAAATTTGGTTGCTTGAGGTCTCTTGGAAGCTGATGAGTTGCGGACCCTTGAGGAACAAGTGGCTTTTTATGAACAAGCTGTGGGCCGTCCGCTCCAATGTGGGGTAGCCCGCTCCACTAAACCTTTCCGGGTGCACGGTGCCGATGCACAGCTGACTTTTAATAAGCTGGGAAGGAGGTCGCAAAATCAAACGACTGAAGAATGGTTTGCAGCGGAGGGGGTGGTGCAAGTGGCCGAGTTCCGACGCTGGGGTACTGAGTTGGTTCAGCAAAAGTTCCAGGAGCGGATCCTTCACATTTCTTTGACGTTGGAAGAGTCGACCCATGCCGGGGGAGACGTCAAGAGGGTGCATTCGCATGCCCGAATGACTTTTGAGAAGCGCGCAGACCGGACTTCAGCAGCTGACTTTGCAGTGGACGGCGTGGTGCCGCATGTAGCTGCGTAGCTGCTTGTCATGGGCAGATGTAAGATCTTCCCTTTTCCGTTTCCAACAAAGACAAATGTGTTTGTTGCGTAACAGGTAAAGAACCAACAGGAACTTATTCCATAGGACCTAGTCTAGATTCTCCCCATCTATGGTGCTCAATTTTCACCAAACAGTTTACTGTTGGGGTTCTATCTTAGAAGAAAAGAGCTGGCCACGCTGACTGGCCATCCTCTTGTCCTACTGTGGTCCTCCTTTTGTCCTTCTCTTGTCCTCTGGCCGCGCTGACCGCCCTGGACACACTGACTGGCCGCGCCCCTGAAATCTGTGGCCGGGCTTCGTGACTTGGTCTTGCCCTCCTCTTGTCTTCTCTTGTCCTGCCCTTCTCTTGTCGCCGAACAATTAGCGGATAATTAGCGATATTGATGCCGACCAAAATCATTGATAAAGCAGTTCGCTCTCGGGGGAAGGTAAGGCATACCAAGAAATCGTTTTTGACTAATAGCTAATATAGGTCCAAACGAATCGTGCTGAAACTGTTTGGGGTCTATGCTGGTATAATCTCGAGACAACTAACTTGGGCCGTGGTACCATCGCATCTCGCACGTATATAGGAGTTCGGCAACCATCAAAACAATCGCGCACCGTCACACGGAACCTTGCAGGAACCTTTGGAAACGTTGGAGCAGCTTTTGTCACACGTTGTTTCCCAGCACCGTTGCCGCAATCTGAGACGGCCAGCAGAGCTGGATGTTTTTTTTTCCGTGGGATGCCGCAATCTTAATCTTATCCTTGGAAGTGCGCGCCCGGGTTGTTCCACTGAAGTCCCAATGTGTGCGTGTGAATGTAACATCCAATGGGCGATCTGCGGGCTGTGTGACGAATTTTTCCGGTTCTGCGCGCAGAGGGCGGAACTTAGTGACTTAGTGAGTGAGTTTCAAGACAGAAGAAGTGCGGAGGAAAGGGAACCTCCAGCTTTTGAAGTGCAGCCTGGGAGGATGCCTCTCTGTGCCGTTCGAGACCGGAAAAAATTTGAGGGTGCTAAAACAAAGTGCAGCAAAGCAAACTGCGACAGGCGTCTACCACTTGGTAGCTATGTCTGTTTCTCTGAAACCAGAGCCCAGACTGTGTGTTGATTGAGGCTATGGCGCGGTCCTTTCAAAGCCAGCTTCTCAGATGAGTTTTGTAGCATGGGTTTGACCGGCCCTTTTTCAAGCACCTCAGATTCAGAGGTGCAAGGGGGACGCTATAGCGAGGCCCTCCGCGGTATATATTTGCCTGACTCTTTTTCAACCACCCCAGGTGACAATGACAACAGTAATCATCCATTACACTTCGAGTGGCTTCCAGACACGCCATAATTTCTGCCTAGTCCCAGATAGCTCCGTCACAGTGAGCCATAGAGGAAACATCGGAAGAATGGTGAACACATAAAGCGCTGCGGGTGTTCGACATCAGGACCCCAATGACTTCGATGGCACTCGGTGGCTTGGTTAGCTTGAATTTCTGCGCGACCTGGGGTGTGCTGAAGTGCGATTGTTTTCGGGAATTGAGCGGCTCACTATAGGGAACCCCCACGCCCTTCGTGGTAAACACCCATGTTTACCCAAAGTTCAATCAAAGATTGTGGTTGTTGCGATGTTTCAAGTTCGTGGAGTTCTTCCTGTTTTTTCTTTGGCATCTCCAGTACGGTTCACCCGTCCCAAACGTGGAGGCTGGAAAATGGCCCGCTCCAGTCACTTCCCGCGCCCAGCGCTTTCAGGACGCCACTGCAGGCGGCAGCACGCTTGGGCGATACGGATGGCGCCCTGCTGCTGCTCGAGGTGTGGATTCCTTGGTGCGGTATTCATGGTGGTCGGGTAGTGGGGTGGGTTTACCGCTCGAATCTTCTCACCTCTCGCCAGTCAGGCTTTAGACTGTATATTTTGATCTATTATAGATGGTCTTGGTTGCTTCGCGTCCTTTTGGTGCTAAGCCGCTAGGCTGAGACAAACACAAGAGGGAATCGTTTTTGAACTTGGGGTTCGCAGCGCTTCGCAGCTCTGGAGGTCCTCAGTGGCCACCAAGCAGGGGCACTTCATTGAAGATTCCTAGAAGAGTGGCCTCTAGATTCTAGATGAAGCCGATGGAAGAAGCAAAATGCAAATGTAGGTCAATATGTATACCAGCACCGAAACCAACAGGTCTCCGAAATGGAGGATTGGGAAGGGCCCGAAGACAGGTTTCAATTGTTGACCTGTTGGCCGTCGGGGCTGGTAGTACTATATAGGTGCGCCGTGCATGGCCTTTCCAAGACCGAGGCTGCGCACCGAATTGGCGCCAATACTCTCTATACTTGTACCATCTCTGATGATTTCTATAGCTTCCTCAGTCAACTTATATCCATATGCTTGTTCTTATGATTCAGATATCCAACCTTTTTCCAGACATGGTGAGGGCCCGACCCCTTCTTAGGGCCTCACCTTCCAGTCGTCTTCGTCTCTTTCCTCTTCCTCTAGGCGGGCGCCCGGTTGGACCTGCCCGATGCGCAAGGGCGCACGCCGTTGATGCTGGCGGTGTCCATGAACATGGCTTCTCGGTAGCAAAGGAATTCTTAGAACCTGGGTCCCCCTCCAATATAGAAGGGTCTGGTTCGGGTCCGGACCCTCTGCAAGTTCGAGGAGATAGGGCTTTACACATTGGTGGAGCCCAGCTGTTTTGGTCGAAAAATGACTCCCTCAGGCCGTTTGCTCAGTCCTAAATCTCGTCGGACTCACCTGGGCGATTTGATGTGGCAGCCATCTAATCGTTGAGCAACAACCCGGTCAAAGATCGGATCTGAAAGGTCAGGAACTGAAGAAGCTGGACGAGTGGAATGATCAAGCTTGGTTGAGTTTGACTCGAAATTCCTACTCGTTTTGTTGATGACTACATGTTTACAGTCTTAATTAGATTACAGATGATCACAGTACATTTACCACCATATGCCGGAGCTCACCTCATATGGGAGGACCAGTATGGGAGGACTTTTGAATCCTTCCACAGTAGCGCCCCTTCGCCCTGTTTCAACAGGTGGACATGGTGCAGTGCCTTCTCAGCCAGCGCGCGGATGCGAACCAGGCCGAAGCGAGGTCGTTCTGAACCGAAGCGGAGTGCCCGGAAGAGTGCCCTGAACAGGAAGAGGAGAAATGGCCCCCGAAAACAGGATTCGCTGTTGAAAAGGAAGAGGATGGAAGATGTCAGGCTGATTTCAGAGAAGTGGATGGAAGTGGACATGTATTTGTGTGATATTTGTTGAATCTCCACTTCCGAAGATTGCAGGGTAGTAGAGCACCCACTGCATCAAGAGGAGACTTGTTCAAGGGTGCTGGCTTGGTATAGAGGCTTGGCAGTAGGCTTGGCTTTCATGTTGAGGAGCCCGGTCAAAAGTGTCGCTTTCCGAAGGCAGACGAGGATGGCAAGACACCTCTCATGCGACTCAGCTGATGGGTGAGTCTGTTTGGCGCCCTGAAGAACGGTGTTTTGAGGTGTAAGTGCAGTCCAAAAGCACGAAGAAGAACATCGGACAAATTAAATTGTGAGCTCATAAGCATGAACAAGCTATAAGAGGTATGTTGAAGGGTGAAACCCTTCCTACACACGCAGCTTACCTTTTGCCTTCTGGCGCATCGTCCCAAGGGCTGACCTCTCGAGGAACAGGAACAGAGCTGGGGCTACCTGGTGAGGCCATGCGAGGCCATTGGGGCATGCTACTGTAGCAACCAGTCACAAGTCTCTTTTTGGAGTCGTTCATGGATGGCCGTGTAGCAAACCCAGCCCAGTCACAGTCCCACCTTCTAGCTACTTGGAGCCTTTTTGGAGTTTTTGGGGATCCTTGAGTCTTCGTGCCATCATATGCTACTATAGGAACAAGGGCATCGCTACTAGGAGCTCCTGGCCTTGCTAGTAGGAGCCAGGACACTACGAACGTAGCTCCTGGCCTTACACATTTCTTGCACCTTTTAGCTATCGGCATCGGCCTCGGCCTCCGCGTTTGTTGGGATCGTGGCATCGGCCACCCAGGATCGCAGCCACCCGTGATGCCCGCGTGGCATGTCTGAAGGGTATGCGGGAGGTGTGTGTGTGTGTGATCGTGCTGCAAGTCACTGCGGGTCACAGCGACGGGAACCGTGGTCCGCTGATCTCTATAGGGAAAAGGTTCGTTTGGTCACCTCGAGGACAAGATGTTGGATGTGCCTTGTCAAACACATTTCACAGGTGCAGCTGGAATCAGCCGGAGTCATGGAGATCCACAGCGATGGAAGGATTTTCGTCATTTTGCCAAGGGAGTGGCCCACCTTGAGTTATTTTGGAGGGTGGTTCCCCTTCTGGCAAGCCAAAAATGGTTCGGCTCAGCTGATCGAGAAGCTGAGGTGATGGAGGAACTTCCTCATTCTGTCAGTACTCGTAGCTGTCAGTAGCTCACGTAGTTGCTGAAAACCCTTGTTGCTCATGTTTGAAGTCGTTTCCGTCCCTAACTTGCTCATGTTCCGCTCGATTTGGCTGAGGATTTGCTCGAGTGCCTCATCCAATTTGGCTCTGACCTGGATCTTTGCGATGCTAAACCCGCAGTGTGTGAGCTTGTCATGGGGCGGGTCAAGGCGTCATGGCGACTCAAAAAAGCGCCAGCCATTGGTTGAAGCCAATGACAAGCCAGACCGCTGGACTTCTCAGCGCAGCTACAGTTTTTTCAATTGAGGTCCCGCATTGATTCGATGTGTTGTTGAGCCAGCTGGTAACTGGCTTTTGTAGGGCAAAAGCGGGTTCGCACCCGAGCAACACTTCGCATTGTGATGCAGGGTCTCGGGACTATGACTATGTTTGTTTTGCTGTTGTGTACGAACATGAACGACCCTTGGGAATGTTCGGTACCTCCACCTCCTGCATGGGCCTGTCAGTTTTCTCTCCATGTCTCTCTGTCTGGGAGATTTGCACCATGATGGGCCCATCATATGCTGGGAATTTCAGAGTTTGGAGACCAAGAGAGGTTGAGAGACCTGAACTAGGACCCTGGTCACGAAAGGTAGCCCTTTAGGGGATTCCTTGAGTTTGACTTGCGAAGCAAGTGTCGGCGAGTCCGGGTCTAATAATTGATCATTCAATTCAACCCCCCCCCCCCGAATTGATTTTTCAATACAGACCCCCCCCCCTTGGAATTGATTTTTCAATACAGACCCCCCCCCCTGAAAAGTAGAGCCTACCTGTACAGGGTTCCACTCCAACAGCCGATATAGTGTGTCCATGCTTGACTGCTTCAAGGCTCAAAGAGCAAGAGGATAAGACTCTGCGCATAAAAGACACTAGCGGTCTGCACCTCTACCGTGTACGCCCTAGTCACTCTTTCAGTGGTAGCGGAGCAGTGATCCTGGAAGACCCAGGTGAGCTCCTTTCCTAGGCATAGAATTGCTTGTGGGCAAACAGCCATGGATTGGATTGACGACTGGGAAGAGCCTGATGCGGATGTGGCTTATGAGCCAGCAGCCTACGTGAATAGGCATGTGAGAAGAGAACCAGCAGCAATAGCAATGACAACACAGGTCACTACAAAGGTGCCCCCATCTTATGATGGAAAGACTTCATGGTTTTCCTATGAGGATGCCATAGACGATTGGTGTGATATCACCGAGCTGGAAGATGAGAAGAGAGGACCAGCATTGAGAAACAGATTAGAAGGAGAAGCAGCTGTATACAAGCGTGTTTTAGACAGAGATGCATTGAAGGCAAATGATCCACCAGGAGCCGGCGTAGAATATTTCAAACGAGTACTACGACCATATTTCGTGAAAGGATCAACCAATGTATTCCTGTATAGATTTATGCAAATTTGTGCGCTTCAATCGAGGATCAGCTGACATGATGAAACGGATGACAAGATTCCAGATTTTACTCCAAAGGCTTATGAGCAGTTGGATGGACATGTTAGAACCAGTCACTCAAGCACATCCACAAGTCCTAGCTCAGATGCAGGCAGATGCAGCGTTGACTGGAGTAGCACCAACGGCAGAAAGGATTCAGGAAATCATGCAGACCATCAATGGCAATATGAGGACTTTTCATCAGAACGAATTTCCTCTAGGAGAAAATCTCATTGCCTTACTCATGCTGTCACTTGCAGATTTGTCTCAGGACCAGCGAAACACTTTGACTTCTTTGATGACTCATCGTGGCAGGGTCCTGCAGCAATACACTACAACAGAGTTGAGGACAGTGTTCATCGAGATGTTCTGCACGACAAAGACTTCAGTAGACAATCCTTTGATGCAGCCGACAGGTGCTGGAGGTAGAAGATCATTTCTCGTACTAGATGAAGGAGAACTCGATGGTACATTTGGCTATTGGGCCGAAGATGAAGAAGATGGAACAGAAGGATTTTTAGATGCCCTGGACGATGTCTTTTGGGTATATGATGATCAAAACTTCTCGTGGTTCCAAAGAAGATTCCAAGGAAGAAGAGCCAGAAAAGGCAAAGGAAAAGGAAGAAGAAAAGGAAAAGGTAAAGGAAGATCAGGCCGCAGATTCTTCAGACCTCGTGGAAAAGGAAAAGGAAAGAGACGAGGTAAAGGCCATTTTGCTGATGAGCAACAGACAACATATCCAGAAGAGTACTTTGAAGAGAATCCTTATGAGGACACTTGGGAGATCTTGGGAGTCAAACCAAGTAGCATATGATGCCATTCTTGCCGAAGATATGAATGACTATCTTCAAGGAGAATATGATGATGCCAATGACTTTTGGCAACAGCTTGAAGAAGCATGGTTTTCCCACAAAGGAAAAGGAAAAGGCAAGAGAAAAGGCAAGAAAGGAAAAGGAAAAGATAAAGGAGATGGCAAACAAGATGCAAATTATGCAAATCAACAACAGCCACGTTCTTTACCTGCACCTTCAAGATCTTCACAAGCATCAGGAGGTCAACAAGGTTTCTTTGCACATTGTGTGACAGCAGCAGCTGAAGTCCATGACAGTGAGGTGGACTTGCTGTCAGGCATGATGACCTCATGTCAAGATGAAGCTGACTGCGCGGTCAACAATGGTGAGACGATCTTCGATGGCATGGGTGCCCCTGTGAGGTACTCATTGTCAAAGGAGATGCTCACAAAGGCTCCTGATGGCTTTGCGCTTATGAGCGCTGAGGAAGAAGTGAAGGAGATGCAGGCCATTTCATTTTTGACTGAAAATCGCTTCCCGCCGACTATTGCAATCCTGGACATTGGATGCACTAGAGCTATGGGATCAAGGCGAGCAGTCGACCATTTTTGCAACTATGTCGACAATCACCCAGATTGTGGATTATGGTACTCTTTTGAGGCTACCAAGAGCAAGTTTTACTTTGCCAATTCCCAGAAGGCTACTTGCTCTCAGAAACTGGTGATTTACATGTATGATCGTGCATGGACGATCCACCATACAGAGTTCGACATAGTGGAAGAAGGAGAAGTCCCTTTGCTTATGAGCTTGCCACAGATGAGGAACTTAGGCTTTGAACTCAGGCTGACACCTCAACATGCTTATCTAACATCGGTGCCTCTTGGTATCAAGTATTTGGAGTTGAAGGTTGCAGCCAGTACTCATCTTGTCTTGGACTTCCAAGATATTGCATGGTATCTGTCTGACGTGAATTTGCAGACTCGGCGCGAGAAGAGTTTTTACTCTCACTTCACTCACTATGAATATGGTCATATCTCTGTTGACCACAATAGTGATGAAGATGTAGCTGAACATGCATATCCTGTGGTTGACTACTGGGAAGTAGATGTTCACAAGAGAGAACTGATACGTCACCACAAGGATTATAGAAAGATTCTTTTTCCAGCGACTAAGTCCTGTCCTGTAGACACTGACTTACTGGAAGACTTGCGACTGACAATCATCAAGAAGAAGAAAGGAGGAGAAGAGATCAAGAAGCAAGATGATTGGCGCAAGGCAAAATGGAAGGACCTACAAATTGGCTATGAATGGCGTGGTAGAACAATTTTTAAGTTCAAGCCAGATGCCAAAATTCCAGATCTAAAGATCAGGAAGGCTGGCATGAGCACCGTGGCATTGGTGATCCCGATGCAGTGGTGCGCTCCTCCTCAGAGAAGGTTCCCATTGCAAAGGACAGGGAACCAGGCTTCTCTTCAGAGAAGGAAGGTGCACCATCCAGTGCCGCGGAAAAGCCCGTGCCGCCAAAGTTTCGGTATACTTCCAAGGGTTTTGATCCATTTTGGAAGGGACACAAGTCGAAACCATCTGAGCCTCAGAATGATTTAAAGGGTGATGATCTTGAGGAGTATGCTCCCTCAGAACCACCTGAGAGGCCAGAAGGTGAACTTGTAGAAATTCCTAAAGCATCAAAAGGACCATCAAGTGATAAACATGAACCACTTGAACCAGGTGATGGCGCTCTTGAGCCTAGGCGGATTTCAATCCCATTACCTGGTAGTGAAGTTGTTGCAATGACACCGGCATATAGGAAGATGTTACAGAGACTGGAGGACAAGGTAGAGCTTTATAAGCTTCATGTGAAGCACTACCATATGAGTCCTACTCAGTTTCGTAGACGTGTTTCTATGTTGAAGCTTCCTGACTCTGTTTTAGAGAAGTATGAATCAGTTGTCAGGAACTGCCGTGTTTGTAACACTTCAGTGGCACCTCCGCCACGAGCCAGAGTCTCCGGTATTAGAGCTTCATGTTTTGGTGATGTTGTTTTTGCTGATCATTGTGAGGTTGAACTTCACAAGAACAAGTATATCATCTTACTTGTTCTTGATGGTGCCACAAATCTTCTCTGGGCTACGGCACAGAAAGACCTCATAGATCAAACCACCATCCAAGCATTGAGGCAATGGTCTGATGAGAACAACTGTGTTCCGAAGGCCATCGTAGGAGACAAAGCCTTTTTCACCGATGCTTTTGTTGAATACTACAGGTTCCATGGTATACAACAATGTCCTTGTGGGCCAAGAACTCCTTGGCCGAACCGAGCAGAGACAGCTGTACGTTTGTTCAAACGTATGTGGCATGTTATGAAGGTAGATCTGGATGACCCACGTTTTCGTGGTGTTACGGTCAGAGAAGTGGTCAAGAAGGTAGTTTGGGCAAGAAATTGTCAGTTGACTATCAGTGGATACTCACCAATAGAGATAGCAACTGGAAGACGTCCACCAGATCTTTTTGACCTTGAGACCGCAAGCCCTGAGCAATTGTCAGCTAATGCCGCCGCACAAGATCGTACAAATTTGGAACTACAACGTGTGGCTTTGAGAGCTCATCAAGAAGCACGACAAGCTCAGGACCTTCGAGCAGATCTTGCAAGAAGGACTATGCCAAGTGACGGTCCTTATTTCCAAGGAGAGAAGGTTTTTATTTGGACTCAGGATTCATCAAAGTTCAAGGATAAAGGACGTTGGGTTCGTGCCACAGTACTTGGACAAGAAGGAGCTATGGTCCAAGCCAACACTGGTGAGGCAGTGGTACGTGTGAATCAGTCGAAGGTTAGACGCGATCACGATGAGTGGCATGATGTTTCCATACCGGCATTAGACGATGAGAATCCGGAGAACTTACGTGAAGATC